ATTACAATCTATGTTTATTCAGAATCAACCTAGGTGGATTCTAAATCTACAATAATTCCATTCCGACGTACGACATATATAATAGTTCAAATGTTAATTAGAGTTACAGTAGTTTTTTGGGGTTCTGAACATTTTTACTTAGTATCTCTTATATGAATTAGATAGTAGGCTATAGTTAGTAATATAACTTTTACAATTTAAAATATAATATTATAACAAAAAAAGATTATTAGAATAATTTTTATACAAGCTTTTGAAATAATTTCCAAATAAATAATAGTTTTAAATAAAAATATTATTTTCTCATCAGCGACCGGGTCATATAAATATCATGATAGGAAAAAAAATTTCATAAATTTTTTCTAGATCACTGGGTAAAAAATATTTGTCACTTTTTTTAATCAATCATATTTTAGAAAAGGGTTAATTTTTTTAAAAAAATAATTTTTTTACCCGGGCGGCCGGGTCCTTTTTACTATTTATATTCATGAGAAACGAATAAATTTTAGTTATACGTATGGCCTTAAACATTTATAAAAATAGTTAATTAAATATAAGCAATATTGGCTGTACGTATGAATTGTTCATATTCATACTTTTTAGTAAATTTTACTTAATTATATTTTTAAAATATAACTATATATATATATATATTATATATAATATTTATTTTATAAATATAAACCTATTTATTGTAATAATTTCTTTAATATTTTAAAATATTTTTAATTTAGTAAATATTTAGTTAGTGTATGTAAATTATAATAGATACTGTAATATATATATAGATATATAGATACATATGTACTTGAGTAATAATAAACAAAATAATCAGCCCTAACAATAACAAAAAAAAAAAAAAAAGAAACTACATATATTAACAATTTTACAATAATTGAATTTTTTATTACTAAAAGATTTACCTAAATATTGCACTATTTCAAATATGCATGATTTCTATAAAATTCTAGTCAAGTTTTATGGTGGTTTGCAAAAAGGTGTGACTCTGTGATTTCGTAATGATGATAGCGAAAAATTTCTGATATTTTAATTCCCTATTGTTCATAATGTCTATATCTGATATTTTATTTTAAAATCTAAAATTCTCCAAGAATCGAAAAATCTACTAGAAGCGGCTGGTTTTTCAGAGGCCAAACCTTTTTGCAAACCGACATAATTGTGCTAATTCAATAAAATTTTTTTTTACATGCGTATTCTATTTGTCGACACTTAAATATTAACAAAAAATTTTTAGATATAAAATAGGTTAAGGAAAAAAAGGTACGTACGACTAGGGTAATAAATCAACCAAGTAACCAAAATTATGTCAGCAAGCTATAAAATTTATATTTTTCATGTTACATAAAGCTGCGGCTAATAATCTTTAAAGATATTAAAATCGACTATTTTTATGACTTAACTCTTTAACATAAACATAAACTGTCTAGAAATTTTTACAAGCTGTTTATAAAGTGCCAGCAAATGAATATTTTTAAAGAATATATATATATATATTAATTGCTTTGTCGGTTAACAATTCAGAAAATGATTTATTATCATTACAATTTAATTCATTCTTTTCTTAGTTAAACTAAAGCCATTTTCTGACTCGAGTTATTTTGCATATATGTATTGGAACTTTAGTAATTTGGATTATCATCATATCTAGAAGTTTTTTTAAATGACAGTCGTTATGCTATCTATTTAACTATTAATGTCAGAGATGAACCGATCTATTGAAATAGAAGTCATTTGCAAAATATCGTTCTTGATTCACATTTGTAGTCATCTTATTTTTTTCTACAGTAATTGTTCGTAATGGTTTAAATACCAATTTTTAAAGCATCAAAAAGATACTTTAAACAATGGACATTAACTCAGTAAATGGTCAACTCCGATTATGTATGACCCAAACTTTTTTTGGGAATGCTTTGAATGGTATATACCGGCACGGTATAATTACGTACCGATTCATACAGCTATTATCCGCAATCAGCGATCTCAACTTCATTTGGATCTGTATTGTACTTGAAAATAATGCATTAAATAATTGGCAAAATAAAAGTTCGTCTCGATAAATACATGAGGAACAAAGTTTTTATTTAATTTAAACATATGCATGTATGTATATTAAATCGGAGAGTGGGTGTACTGCGTGATCAAATTATTGCGATTGTAATGGTATGTGCTGCTTCAAATAGCGCCCATGGGCATTCTGAAATAACGCGCATATAATCAATATAGCCGATATATTGAAACAATTATATAAATACGTACGGTCTTCGTAAATACATATATTTCTTTGGTGGATTACATTACATGACGCAAATGTAAATAGACATCACTTTAAAAATATTAAGACCGGAAAATTAACTTTTATTTTCGAAATAACACACATGAAGTTAACAATGCGCAGATGGCGTTATCTCGAGCTTATACGGAAATGATTGTCATTACGGCGCGTTTGTCAAATTTAACTAATATTTGGTCAGTGATCCAAATTAATTAATGATTTTCTGAGATTAAACACTAAAAAAAAATTCTATCTATAATAAACAATATGTCTAACCCATTTTTCCCATAGGTTTAACCAGTGTTGAAAATTTTGTTGTGCATGTATTGTTTTCTGCACAAAAATCAACAATTACTAAAACAATAGCATATTTGTGCCGAATTTTAACTTTACCATTTTAAATTTCTGTACAATTCAGATAACCTATTTTAAATTTATTGTTACGTATATGTGCAAACATACAATTTAATAATTTGAAAAATCGAATAATGCTAAAATTTCACGAGAAAAGCTTTTTACTAATACATATATGGAAAGCAGTTTCATAGACGAAATTTTTATTCTAATTTGTTGTCAAAAATATTAAGTAACACTGTATAAATTAATTACATTATGAAAAGTTTCTGGTCCAATCATTTTGATACGAATACCGGATACCGGATAAAATTTAATATGAAGCCGAGTGCTTTATTTATAATCCATTATTTCAATTCCCGTCCCGGAAAAATTCAAAGCCCGACAGTTTGCAAATTCTAGTGAATTCCTATTACGTAATCGAACAATCATTTCTTGTCAAATGTTTAAAGTTAACACTGTTTTACTACTACGTATAAAAGCCATTAAATGCCACTAACTAACTTTTTAAATCAATATTAGACTAAATTTGGTCTATTATATATTTTGTATAAAACTATCTTGATTTAGTAAGCTATATAGGATAGTAGCGTAACGGTTGTCTCACGTACGTATGTACTTACAAAAGTCTAAACAGAAGTCAAAGTTGGCGATAATATAAAGTTAGAAAATCAAGGACTACCCCTAATAACATACACTATATACAGTACATGTATTTCATTCACCAGGTATTGTACGTACGTACGTACATACGTTTTTCTCAGTATTGAATTTTTTTTCTTTAACATGTGATATCATAATTGAAAAAAATTAAAACTGCGTAAATTTTTAAATCCAGATCTTAACCAATCATATTCAGGCAAATTATGCGTTTCTTAATATGGTAAGATGTGATGTAAGAGTCATACATATTTCAGTATTTGTTTATTGTGTACCGTTTTCTTGATTATTAATAAAAAAAAAAAAACTAATAAATACAGGCCAGTTACAATCTAAAAATTCTGTAATCTTCACAAATATGCCTTTTCCTAAATTTTCAGACATTAAAATTGTTATTATTTATACTGGAAATGTAATGAAACAAGCGAATATTCACACTTTTAAGGATGAAGTAAGTTTTTCATTTCCCAACTCTTTTTCTTATCTAAAATAATTCATCTATTGCATTTTTCGTTAACGAAAAGTTTCATGATCTATCGGATTATTTGTTATTTTGGTTATACTTGTTTCGGTTTATTGAAATGTTTTGTATTTAACTTACAGATTGCAAGTTGTCTCGAAAATTCTTTAAAAAGTGTGCATTCTTCATATCATATTGATCAACCTCGTGGAATATTAGAGGTACCCAGTCCTTATGATCAAAGTTATAAACTAAAAGAACGTAATGATTTTGAAATAACAGGTATTTATTTTTTTTATTTAACGTTTATAAATTTCTTTTTTTAACATTAGATCAAACCATCTTTAAAATATTTCTTACATTTTCTATAATATGGACAGTAAAATTATTTTATCTTCCTTCATCATCTAACTCAACTGATAATCCATCCGCTCCTCCTCCATCTTATATTTCTCAATCTCTTCACCATTTATTTTGTTTGCTTGGCATTACCTATGTAGATAGTTTTATTGTTTATTTTAATGGTCTATTATTTGATGATCATGATCAAGATGATTCTAATTTAGTAATGGACGATTTTGAAGCGTTGGTTGAAGTTTGGAAAGAATTGGAGTTTCATTATAGAAACGATAGAATTAAAAAATTGGGTGTGAGTGAATTTACAAAAAATAGATTTGAAAGATTTTTAGATGTAGTAGAGGTACGTAAGATTATCTCATAGTGCATATTTATTGATTACCATTTTTGTAAAGTTTTCTTTCTTAAATAGGTTCCGCCAAAAATTGATCAAATAAACGTTAAAAGTTGTTGTGATATGCCAAAAAAAATGATCGGCTATGCGAAAGAGCATGATATAGAACTACTAACTCATAAAGATCCTGCTAGTAATTAATTTATTTATCTTTTTTTTTTTTTTTTTGTTGTTGTTGTTCGTTCAATCATTTAATTATAAATGGTTTTTAAATAGATATTTTACCAACACCAACATTTCAAAAAATCTTGAAAGATACAAATTTTCCTTTTGCTTCAGAATTATTACCACGTTGGGTATTAAAATATTCTGTTCTTATAAAATGTCGTGAGGTGGTTGCTAACAAAGGGTAATGTTCTATTTAAAAGTTTATCTATTTATATGTATATTTAAGTGTAATTTTCTTTTTTTAACTTAATATAGTTCTAGATAATTGTAAATTTTAAAGATTGCTTATAACAATTAGCAAATACCAAAATTTTTAGATATAAAAATACCCTTTAGTTATCTATTTTTTTTTTTTTTTTTTTTTATTG